TTTATAACTAAGAAACAAATTTCCGACCAAATCTTTGATAGTGTAATACCTGTTAATTCATATTCCATGTTCAACCTCAGTGAAATAGACTATCGAGATTCAAAAGATGTCCTTATGATTTTAGCCTCAAAAATCGCCATTGATACGCCATGCAAATTTTTGACAGAATTTTTACGCTTCTGTAACGAGCGTTTTGCCGGCTTAACTTAACTTCAACTTAACGTTCAAGATGACCTCCACAGTTATAAATTGAGACCTTGCCAACCGTTTTAAAAAAGTGATGAATTTATTATAGGCCAGCCTCCAGTTCGATTCATAACCACAAAATATGACTCTGTGCAAAAATGGTAAAGATCATGAGAGGTCACGCCAATGATTTGAATTTTGTTTCGAGATTTCGGTGTATTTGTATGGGAAATTATTGATTTTCACTTACATTGCTGTATGTTTGGTTATAGTTATACAAAAATTAATATGTGGTTATCGGTATATATTGATAAAGGTTTAGAGGTCACGCCGATGATTTGACATTTGTATGAGAATTGCTATGGAAAAATAAAAAAAAACGCTTAAATCGCTCTAACTTTGCTTGTGGCAATTATCAACAAGCATATTGTTGTTGTGGTAAAATTGACGTTGTTGCCATTTTTACGCATATATTTATTTTGTTATATGCTGTAAAACTGATTGTAACGACAATAGGCTTTTTGATCATTGCCACAAGCTAAGTTAGAGCGATATAAGCGTTTTTTTTTTAATTCTTCCCTAGTAATTCCCATACAAATGTCAAATCATCGGCGTGACCTCTAAACCTTTATCAGTATTTACCAATTGATACACAGGTTCATGTTTTGGAATTATGAATCGAACTGTAGGGTGGCCGATCAGAAATTCATCAATTCCTTAGATCAGTCGGTAAAGGTGCAGCTACAAAGCAAAATTATGTTGGAGGTGGCTGCGTCCGGTCTCGGCATTTTTTGGGTTAGAAAATTTCTTGACTTCCCTGGGAAATATAGTATGATTGTACTTGCCACACAATTTTACGATGATGATGATGATGGTCTCACCTCTTACCCCTACAAAGGTTTGAGCTGGACGATTTATCTTTAAGATAATTAAATATGACATTTTAACCAGGTTAGTGAACAAAATCGATCTGGTTACAGTTACAGATATAAATTTCCTCTAGAGTTTACAGTTCCTTCACAGCGATATAAATGTGGAAAAACTTGGGCGTCCACCTCTTAGTTCGCCTTTTTATTCACCTAAAATATTCATAAGTATTACAAGCGATCAAGAGTTAATGAACAATCAACAAAGCATCATATTACACTAGCAACCCCGCAATCTGATGCTATCATAATTTTCAGCAATGTCAGGAAGCTCACGAGCCCCCAACATTTGCCAAAAAACTTACTACTAACTCAAGGTATCTTCCAAATAAGCTTCAAAATTGCATTTTTTTTTTTTCAAATGTTAAATCCAGTCCTCTATATCCGTAATACGCGCGCGAGGCTCAAACCTTTGTAGACTACTATTTTTTTTAAATCTACTACTATTAAATCAAATATTAAAAATCTGTCATCGCCATCGTGGCGAACAGAAATAGTTTGTGAAGTGCTACAATAATTATTAAAAAGTCGTTATAACAGCTATCCATATAAAATAATCCGTTAGAGATAACTTCTTCAAGATACATAATTTGTCAATTTATAAAAAAAAAAATCAGTAGATAACTGATCAAAAGACAGTTTTAACGTGTGAAATACAGTGTCTCTTAAATTCTGTAAGTGTTGCTGAACGTTTGATAAGTCTAGGCATCGAATTGAAAACATTCATTCCTTTAAAATATAATGAATTTTGTGAAGCACAAGTCAAGAAATATATGGTGTTCTTATTTCAGCCGCGTCTCTAGTATTATATCTTTGAAAGTCACTTCCTCTTTCAATTCGATCACACAAATATCGAGGCAGCAAACCGTTAACTACTTTAAAAATGAACACCATAGTCAAATATACAATTCTTTGCTTCACCGACAACCATTGTAAGGCGTCTAGCATCAAAGTTGAGGAAATGAATCTATTACACCTCAAAATCAAACGCATTATTTTACTCTGCAAGCGCTGTAATCTCGATATTTGTGTTGCATTGAAAAGAAATTAAATGGAAGGGCAAAAGAAGAGATGATTGATATGTATAGCTGTATTTTACTGGCAATAGTTAAATCGTTTTTCAATCGACATGTAATTCCATACTTCTTGGCAATTTTCTTCATGACATTGTCAATGTGAACTTAAGTTTGTCATCAATAATCACGCCAAGACATTTAATCGCCTGAACGCGATCAATAGTCTCATCATCAATTACAACAGAGACGTTCTCATTTAATCGCTTCCGCGAAATTACCATAAATTTAGTTTTACTTGTATTCAATTTCAACTGCTTATACTTATACTTATATATATAACTGTGGAAGTGCATATAGAACACTAACTTGATAGCAGCAATAAGCTAATATGCGATAAACAATAAGCTTGAAATGCAAGGCAGAAGAAGAAGGCCTATTATCAGACAAGTTTGGGCCAAAGGGTCTCCAAATTTTATGAAAGCTTGCCAACAAGTAGGCTTATGATTATATGATTGGAAAAAAAAACATCTGAGTGGTTCATTTTCCCGATAGTAAAAAAATCCCCTCTGTCTAAAACGCATTACATATGAATTGATTTTATATATTTGATCATCATTAAAAAAGAAATCAAAACAGCTGCACGTTCGGTAAAACTTTGACCTTCATTTTAAAAGCTATTTAATTTGAAACAAAATTTCAAAACATGTTCAACCTTGTTTAAATGGTCAAATCATGTCATTTTAGTGAAGATGCAGTTTCAAAGAAGCTGAAAAGCAATTGAATTGAATTGCATAAATTTTACCAAACAGTTCAGCTGTTCAGATTTCGGTAAAAATTACCGAAGTTGGTCATAATTTCTTAGTGTGTATTATTGATTGAATTCCAACTGAAATCACTAATTTAGTAAAAGTGTACATATTTTCAAAACAGGATGACTTCGACACACTTCGCTTCAAAAATGGTTGTCGGAATTATGGAATTATTAGGTGATATTTTAAATTTGTTATATACAACAAGAAGTTGTAAAGCATGTTTTTGACAAATACAACCTGTCAATTTTGCTTTCAGTCCTTGATGAATCCATAATTCTTAAAAACAATGTTTGTAGCGAAGTGAGTCGAAGCAACCCGGTTTTCTAAATTTTTTTTTTAGTAGTGTTAACTACCCCATTTCCGGCCTATTAAGCCCTACCCGCACTTAGTTTTTCTTAATATAGCGCAGTTTAGCACCAAACGGAATGTTATTATTACTGATGGCTTCCAAATTTATTTATCTTTCCGTACGTTTCGTAAGATTTTATAAAGAGAAACCAATCGTTAAGATATTGTAAAAAGTCTAACACTGCTTATTGAAGCCAAACTCGGCCTAACGCCATTGAAACGTCAATGAATTCACTTCGGCCTATCGGATGAAGATAAAGATCGATTTGGTCGGAGCGTTTCATTTGTATTTGAGAATATTTGGTACAAACATTCATATCACGCGTTCTTGTGGACTTCGTTCGGTAGCATTTGAACTAAAGTATTGTACCAAACGCATAATTTACCTGTTAACGCCGAAATCATTGATTTATTTGATGTTTTCTGCTCGATGGGCCCAAAATGGGCACTTAAGCCGAAGTAGTTCTGTACCCTACTTATCCTCCATTGATGATAAAAATAATGGACAATGTCCTCTTTGTTCTCCAGAAATCATTTGAATTGTCCTCCTTTTCGATTTTTTTCATATGGTAACCCTGCCTAAGCACACGATAAATTGCCTTTTTCCATATCAAATGAACTGATTCTATCGCTCATTACTCTAACAAGAATCCTGATCCATCGCATTGATACCACAATGACGTAATTTCCAATCCGTGATAAATTGCCCTCAATGAATCAAAATAATCTAAAAAAAGCACAAATTGACTCCCGCTACATGCCACAGCCGCAACGCATTTCAATTCAACCCCGCAGCGCCCAATGAACCGATAACAATGTTTGATCCGTTTAATTCCTTTTAAAATTAATCAACTTTCAGATCAACGCAAACTTGATTTACAATTCAATTTGCAGTATTGATGGCTCACTGCAGTGAACGTCGGGACAAAAAACAGGAAAAACGCTTACAGACAGCTGTACGGCATTTCCCTTCTTTTCCACCACAGCGTCATCGGCTCTAGAGTTCATCGTTAGCAAGATTCAAGCATTCAAGTCGCGTTGTCTCCCGTATTTTTTCTACCACCATTCTTACAATTTCAACCCTCTTATGTACATGTTCACCTATGAGTGCGCAAGACACCCTGTCGAACTGGCTCCAGACTGCTCCTAGTTTTCCGTACACTGTCTTATCTGTGTCTATGTAAATAAACATGTTGATGTTTTCTTTCTGATAAATTACCTACCGTTTATCGTTCGCACAGTTCCTTCGTTGGCTTACTTCCATTTATCCTGCTTTTTCGTTGTTGCGGAGAAAATCCGGAAGTGGACCCATTCTTTTCCCGTGATTGCGTTCTGCTCTAGGTATCTGCTGCAATCGTTACACTTGTGCCTTGTCTCATTTGTCTTCTCGGTTTTACGTATTGATTTTGGCTTTCCACTTAAGAAGAATATATCGTTCTTGATTTCTTTACACAACCATTGCGATCGTGAGTATGAGATAGAACTGTTTATTGCTGTTTTGTTCCGGATTTTTACACTTCCAGAGAATGCAAAAAATATCCATTCAATTGTTTGCACGAAACATTTCATTTAAACACATTCTGATGTCATATAGCAGCATATAAAGCTTAACGAAATCCTATATTATTTACCATAAACATGTCAAAAATAACAACATCACGACCCAAATTCTAATCCATGCATTGTAATATTTCTTCCATTTCTACTTCTAGCCGAAGAGGAATACCTGAGGTTTCAGGGAAACGAATCGATCATCGACTACTTCAAGCTCGTTCTACGGGATGCCACCAGCAACAGTTTGCTGGTGGGTGCAAGGTGAGTGGCATATTTATGCAGTAGTTAATTTAGTCCCACAATGAATGAAATTTCTAGTGAACATTGTTTATGCAGGACATATTTGGTACACTTTTTTTATTATTACAGAACCTGCCTACCAGATATTTCAAAATTGATGATAAAAAGATGCTCAAATGTGGATACTTTATTTTTTGCGTAACTTTCGACCCCTAGGAAAGTGGCACCATTATTTCAGTAGTTGTAGGATTTGAACTGGTATCACACCATAATCCATTAATAATTAAATTTATGGGTCAAAAGGTCTAAATACGAAAGGTAGAAAGAGAAAAACGGTCAAAAGGGACAAAAAGTCGAAAGGAATATATTATGGAAAGGACAAAAGCAGACGAAATATTCTGAATATGATTTATCATGGTATACTGCAATTCTGACAAGTGAAGTTTGACTTTATGCTATGTCTCTTCTGTGAAGGCTGTTCGTAATTAGGTTAGAACTATTTAAAATAAAATTTGGGGTTGATCTCTCGTGGGAAGAGATCATTGTAAAACTGTGGCCATGAAATGGGATAGGCAGCTATGGTGTAAGGTATGACACTGGCGAGGTTATGCACGCCACCATGATATTTCGCATAAAAATATATTTTTATCAACTTTTCATTGCAACGGTAGGTAGTATTCAGAGTCTTGAATTTATATATTTCAAATTAAACATTTTTCAATAAAAAAATAAATTATAAAAATTTAAAATTGATAGGCAAAAATAAGAGCATTCCCAAGCATATGGTATACGAATCAACATACTGCACTGCCATCTTCATAATCTGTGGGGAAATTTACCGATTACGATCGCAAATTAGCGTTTTTAGTGAATAAAATAGGTCAGGTGTGTCATGGGCAGAAATACAATATGCTAGTGCGCAATTTAATGTCTTTCTAACTGTTTGATTTCACTTGACATATGACTAGATGGAAGGTTGCTTTCTTCGGCAATGTTGATCAGGTGAAGAAGATTTATTGAATGGATAACAGCCAGTTCAAAATTGATTCACCAACGGTGGTATAATTTATACGTAATTCATAATTAAATGTTTATACTTAACAGCTAGCCAATATATAAGCTTCCTTTCTTGATCAAAGTTGCTCAATTGGACTAGACCTATTCTATAGTAAACAGTTCAGTTCAAAATTCACTCAGCAGGCGGCAATAGTGCACCATTTTACTTTTAACTGTTTCAGATATTTTACATGACATTTTGAAGTAGGCTACGGTGTTCAGTTGACGTGTTTATGTTGTGCTGTGTGATTTTAACAGGGGACTTGGCTGAATATATCAAACTATTTTTGATATTTTTAATTTCTATTCCAATTTGGTGATGGTAATAACGTGCCGCTCATAAGAAGTGATGCCACATATACAGATTTTTTATTCAATATTTTGATACAGTTTACAGATTTTTAGAAAAATATACAGATTTTACAGAATTTTCAAATAAGTGGAAAATATTTTTCATTCTTTATTATATATATTAATTCCTATAAATAATCGATTCTTTCTTTTCATCTGCTTAAATTCACTCTTCGAGCACCAAACCCAAATCGCATTTTTCACTAAATTAAATATAACTTTTTTATCTTAGGTAACTTTGAAAGGATTTCTCAGGGACAGATGTTCTGATTTCTGATTTCTCGTTCGAAGGGATATTAGTTTTCTTATCGTATTGATTTATTAACCATGTCACAGGGTGACAGGTTCTATGGTTAATTATTTTTTTGGTTTTATCAAATCGGTGAACAAACCAAGTGGTGAACAACGAGGTTAATACAGATGGTGACCCCAAGAGTTAGCTGAATATTTTCATTTTTGAAAAAAAAATAACAATTTATGCAATTCAACTAAAACTCCCAAATTAAAGTTATGTTTTGTGACAAAATGCAATACAATTTAACCTGTCCGTTTTAAATCTGAACACTTTTTAGATCTGCATGCCTTTGTCAAAAGTCATTTCGCTAATCTGCATGCCCTGGTCAAAAGTCATTTAGGACATGGAATGAAGTCCAGCGAAATGGAACGATGCGAAACGAATCGCAGAATCAAAGCAAAACAGCAGGTTACCAGAAACTAAAGCAAAACTAAAGCTACAGTAAAAGTGTGGACGTCTGTCAAAAGTTGTTGCACCGCTTTGCTCGATTGGAACAGCTTTTTTCAGTATTGGGGTGACAGTCGTCCATACTTAAACTAAAGGGCTTTACCAGAAACTCGCTTTTCTAATGGTCGTAGGGTAACTAGAAGCTCAAATTAAAATGATCGTTAATTTGCATGAAGTGTCGATCAAATTAACTGACAACAAATACTGATTACACTTTGGTTCGAACAAAAACAAGCGAATTCAATATCCTTAAATAAAGCTGCCAGATTTGATCAAACAATTTGAAGGAAAAGAAAGTTCAAAAATTAACATTTTATGAAGAATCGCGGGGTAAAAAAACAACAAATAACAAATAACAATTGATTGTCATGAAGCACTAACACTTGAATAATTGAGCCCTCTAACGGTTTACTGCGACGAAGCGAACAATGAAACTGGGCCGGCTTGGTCAAACGGCTTGGCGGTGCCGAAATTGATGGAAGCTCCTTGAATGCAGATTGTCCAATGTTGTTTTTTACCGCTCAGTACTGTAGAGCTGTTAAGAGGCGCAAGTTGGCAAATGTTGCATCTTCGGGCTCCGGTTCAGTATATTTTTCGTTATCATCAAGTATTTTCCAGCTCTAGCTCATATGTATCCCCTTAGAGTGTGTCGTACTTCATAGATGCTCTCAAGAGGTGAAGATGGTTCAATACGATGGGGTGGTAGACTCTCTGGAGCTGCCTCCAGGATATCCGCAGAAAACACTGGAGAACGTGTTTCTTGGCTGGAGCTACTTGCAGAACGTTCCGTATGAATCACTTTCTTATACAGAAGCATGTTAACAATTTTGTTGAGATTATTTTGTACGTTTCACTTGAAAGTGTTGGAAGTCTTGATAATTTTCCATGAATCCATGTTGAATAAAAGTTTTAGCTGGTTGTTTACAATTTAGATAAGTTGGAACTGAGTGCTTATCACTGTTTTAAAATAGAGGTTTTATGGCCAACTAGTTTTATAGCGGTTGCTTATAAAACAACATTGGGATTGGTTGTTTGACAATCATAAACCCTATCATAAATCAAAATTGCATTTGTTCCATTTTTATTACTTCCTTATTGTGACATTACGTATGACCGCCATAAAAACATCATTATTGTATACCTTGTATCATAAAGGTTACAGCCTTGTATTGCTCGGATTAAATCATCGTATAAAACGTATTGGTATTCAAGCATTAAGACACGTCAGCAATAAGTATTCCATTCAAAAACCTGATTTATTCCACCATAAATGCGACGATTTGCCCACTCATTGCAGCAAGGATGCCTGGATTTGTTCGAAACTGAAACTTCAATAAGTGATCGATACTTGGGTGTTATTCGTGAATGTTTAGTACTTCTATATACGTTCCAAATCAAATTAGATAACCGCTTACGGGTTTCAATCACTGACTAGCTCGTTTGTTCCGCTTCCCCACATAAATATGTACGCAGATGAATATTTTTTTTAGCTTGTGGTTTTTCTCAATGGATAATACCTACTCGCGAACAGTGAAAATAAAAATCGTTTTGCTGGATAATAATTTGCGATTATTTGTATTACATGCTCTGCATGACAGGTAGGCTTCGGGATTATTACATGGAAGACTGCTCCCGAACGACCATTCTTGCCTTGGAGCTGAGTTATAAATTCTACTCTCTGCAGCGTGGTACCTATTTTCCCTACAGACACGCTTCAATTTTCCGGCAAAGGGAAGGGATCAGCAGTGGAAGTGGGTGAGCAAATTTCGAGCCACAAATCTAATATTTATGATCCGCTCATCCCCATTGGCAACAAAATCGTTTCTTTTTTCACAGTTTTTTTTTTTGCATAATGGCTGTGCAAAGACAATTTTCTTCGGTTATTGCCGTCATTCGCTTCCTTTTTCGTTGCACGTAACTTGAGCCTTGTACTCATCGCAGCGTATAGCAGAAAGGCGGTCGCTATAAATTGGCTTAATAAAGTCATAAAACTTTTAACTAAAATCGATACCAGCTGCAATGAAAAGAAGTTGTACCACGCCACGGAACATGAAAAGTTCGTGTAGGAATAGACGCGATGTCGTAGTTCATGAGTACATTATTGCAAGCGTCATCATTGTAGTGCTGCTACTGACGGTTTATGTTGATATTATTACCGTAATAACGATGTAAACGTTATATCAAAATCATGTTGAAGCTCTTAAGCTTCTTCTTCTCGTCTCGCCGTGTACACCTTGTACTTACTTACCTGCTCAACATTGACTTTGCTCGCTATTGCTTATTTCCCATGGTTCTTTCAACACGTCACCTGCAATGAAAGTGCATTTCACCAACTTACTCGATCCGCCCACCTTTTGTACGCCATTCACAGAACGTAGGTACACGATGTCGTACGTCGTTCGCTTTACACAAAATGCAAGAATAAAATTATATGTGAAAAGCATTAAAAAAGTTTAAACGAATATGTTGGCTCATGTGCAAAATTAATTTTAATAATTTCCTACGGACGGAGCATTCTAACGCTAGGGAAATTGAAATTTAATGTGAGTAGTTAAGCATTGATGCCATGCGAAGTGTACTGTGTAGTTTAATGTTCTGACTGATTTTTCACTTCACGAAGTTCTACCGCCCGCAGAGTACTGGTCAGCCCTGTAATGGTGGTTACTTATTATTACGCGTTAACACAACAAATATGAGTGCAAAATTTTACACTGTTAAATCAAGCGGAAAACTAATTCTGCCTTCAACGAAATGAATTTGATTACTGATTTTGCATTCATAATATTTAACTGAATACGGGCCTGGCGTAAATCGTTAGCATCCGCTAAAAAACCTTGAGTTCAAACCTCACTCCGGACAAGCTACGAATGAC